TGGATATTCTTCACGTTCGGGTGATCTTTGTACGCCGGGTTGTCCCCGGTCACTTCTCACCCGACCGGGTGAGGTAGTGGGCCCGACCGGGCCATGCACTTTCTTTGCATTTTCGTTTTTCACTTCTTACCCGACCGGGTCAAGTGTTATACCCGGTCGGGTATTTGCTCCTGGGCAGCCAAATCTTCTTTTTCTTCACTTCAAAGTCTTCCTTTCCAACACCACAAATCCTAACTAAACTTTACAACTTACAAATAAAGACTAAAATACAATTACAACTGAAATCACATAAATGTTTACAAACTAAATAAAACGTCAAACAATTAACATAAATCAAACATAAAAACATGTAATTATGCACTACTAATTAGTGTGCATCAAGAGGCCTATTTACTGGAACCGCGGTTGCAGAGAGTAGATTCAAGACTCTAAGAGAAACAAGAGAGTCTAGAGGGGTTGCGCCGTTTGCAGAGAGCGATAGCGATATGTCGATTGTTTGGCGATTAGTTACCTGATTAGGCAGATTAGCGAGAGAACCTGCTGCTGGAAACGAAGAGTTGCGCACTTGTGCCGCACGCGTAGTCGCGTATCTTGGGACCACCATATATCTTGTTTAAGCGAGCAACAGACTACGATTTAAGTTATAACCCTTTTCATTTATTTCTATTATTATTATTAAAACTGTATTTCTAATTTGTTATACTGACCATTGATATTTTTAATATGAAAATATTTGGAATATGAAAATTATATCAAAATGTTCCTTATTCAAAATATTTTCATAAAAGTATAAAATTTATAAATTATATACAAATGTAATAATTAAAATCATTGTCCAATGTTTGTCATCATTGATCAAGAAAAATTAATATGGCAAACCTTTTCGGGACCTCAAAGTGTCTGGGAGAAAGCGGAGAAAACAATAGTCCTCGGTATCTAGAGCCCTCGACACCTAGTGGCCCCCTGGATGAAGAGCCTTCGGCTAATCATCTACGGTCGAAGGCTTCTCCTCGACAGAATCTTCCGCCCACATGCGCTGTATCAACGTACCAAGTACAAACGTCACATCCAACCACCGCATTTAATGCGGCCACATGCGAGTGCTAGTGCCACCCCGTTGAGGTGACCCCTCGACCACCAGAATGATGACATGTGTCCCTATCTGGCATTTATTACTACTATAAATAGCACCCCTTTCCCCATTTGTAATCCATGCTCAATACGCTCAATACTTTCTCAACAATACATATTCTCTCTCTCTCTTACTTTTGCTCTGACTTCTCTCTAGTTACTCCCTGCAGTAACCCCTCGGATAGATACCCCTCGGGTACACTTATCCATCATTTGGTGCTCTCGTTGCGAGCTCGAACAATCAAGTAAGAAACCCTCCCCTTCAGCTAAAAACACCTACCAAAATGGAAAGAACCACCCGTGCTCAGTCCAAGAACCTTGAGGACAACAACCTGACCCTCAGTGAAGTCAACGCCCCCGGAGCTTCTAACAAGGCTCCCGAGGGTGGGGTCATCACTAAGTTGGAACAGGCTGCTGTTGACCTGCGCCTTCAGCTCCAGCAAAACTCTCCCGATGCCCGCCTTGGCATCAAAACCCGAAGGACGGACCGGAGCAAAAACCAAGTGAGCCCTCCGGTTCTCACTATCGACGTACAGTCGGCATTCCTTGCCTTCATCTAGACACTCACTCAAAATCCAGGTGCCTTCGGCACTTATTGTTTTGGCTAGAATTGTTGATAAAGGCCTTTTGTTTTGGCTATTTATTAATATTTATATAATCTATAATAAAACTAGAACGGAATAACACAATGATTATAATAATAATATTATTGTAATTATAAGACACCATTCTGTTGTAAATTTTTATGATACCAAGGTGTCACAACGTTTTATGATATCAATGTGTCATAATGTTGCATCACATTAATGTGTCATAATTTACTAACACTATTTTGTTTTACAATTAGTGACATTATATTTAGTGTCACTAGCCGCCACTTTCCCCGACGCTTTTTTAGTGTCATGCATAGAAACTTTCACTGACACTAAATTAGTGTCACTATAAGGCCTTTTTCTACTAGTGATTGTACTTTTTAATGTTTATTTCATGACATCAAGTCCTCTCATATTTAGATCCGGACTCTTATTTTATTTAAATGTCAATGTTTTTATCACATTTCAATATTCATTGTCATATATTTTTACAATGATATCAACATTATCATATTGTTGATAAATGATTAGTATAATTGCCATAGCTATTAATGACATTGTAATAATTTTAATTCTAACAATGGCAGTGTCAGGATAATAAACAATGTCATATTTTTAGTGATGAGAGTGTTTATGATTTTTTTGGATAAACATAAATTGTGTTCACATTGTGAGATTTTATTTTTCTTGTTTGACTTTATATTTTATTTTTACTCACACAACATTAATTTTCAAGCAATGACATCATTACATTGTCATATATTGACATTGCATATTACACATTGTCATTAGCATTTTCAAGCAATGACATCATTGCATTGTCATATATTGACATTGTATATTACATTGTCATGAGCCCGCATTATCATTGTCACGATAATCGTTGACATTGTGATTTTTACAATGTCATTTTTATAGTATTGACATTGTCACGACATTGTCATTGACATTGTAACAACCTTAATGACATTTTTATAGCATTGACATCTTCAAAATTTGACATTATAACACTATGACATTTTAGTGACATTGACATTTTTATAAATTGTAACATTGTTAGTGAAAAGTTTGATCATGCTGAGATTTGTCACCCATAACTGATTAAATTGTGACATCAAATTTGAACAACGAGAATTATTATTCTAATTTTCAATTTCTTTACATATTATACTGAGTATGTAAATTCATAGCTCTCAATAAAGGCACACAAACAGATTCCAGAGACTTTCAAAGTGAAATTAATTTTTTCCAATGGTGCACAGATACTTACAAATCTTGCCTATTCCGATCAATTGGTGCACACGATTGGTCAAAAATAATTTTTCCAAAATAAATACGAACTGAAAGCAGAGAACTAAGGAATGCAAAAGTCAAACGATAAAACGTAAGAATACGAGTTGCAGCAACATAGGAAATTCAATGCTCCGTATAATTTAGGAATATAGGAGACTTGCACCGGGTACAGAAGAAGAAGAAAACGATGAGGAGGAGAATGAATCTCGTCGGCAACCACTCGGGCAACGACTCGCACCGGTGACCACCAGCGGCAGATCGGCAGTGAATGCAGCGGCGGTGACCTGCGACTGCCGAGAAAGAGATGAATTCGGTCACCAATGCTCTGAACATCATGGTTCGTGATGAATGAATGGATGACTAGGTTTGGCAGCAATGTAATTAACATGCCAATCAATGTAGACAACGGTGATCTCTAAGGGTGTTTTTGTCCCTCCCTTTAAATTTTGGTCCTATTTAGGGTTTAAAAACTTCTAAGTCCTATATACATTCTTAGCCTTTGTTTTGATCGTATTTAGGTCTATTTCCCTTTCTTTTGATGCCGAAGACTCTTGTAGTCATACTCTTAGGGTGTGTTTGAGAGTAGGATTAATTGAGATTGTAACATCAACACAACGATTTCGTTTAACTAACAAAATTAATTCCTTTTAAGATTATTAATCATGAGACCATGCATTAATAACTCGAATTTACTTACTTGTGAAACCATCATTGATTAATTATCATTTCATTTATCGTTTTTAGTAGTAATTAATGTCACGGTGTTAACTAATCGTCACTTAGCAACACTGTCCAACATTAATATAGAGATAGAATAAGAGTAGAATTAATATTCAAGGAATAAAATTAAAAAAAATAACTCACAACTTAACATTCAACAAGCTTCAAAAGCAAAACCAAGAATAAAAGAGTTAGGTTCTTCATTTGGAGACTAAACATGAAAGAAATATAAAGAAAACCCTATTCAATTCTAAACATGATCTTATTGGAAAGAAAAATTGATATATTCATATGTGTTTGGAGGTGGTAGGTCTTGATACCCGATCGGGTATATGGGGTACCCGATCGGCTACCTGAGGCAGTTTCCAGGAAGGTGTAAAATCACATCATACCCGACCGGGTATGTCGGTCTATGTACCCGATCGGGTATAAGACAAAACTTGCTAAAAATATCTCGCACAATGCTTTGTTCTCCGAATTTGAGTTTGACAACTGAATCAAGTAGGTACCCGATTGGGTATTGCCTATACCCGACCGGGTACATGAACAAATTTTCAAATCTCGATTTTGTCTTGTCCCTTTGCATCTTCCTTGGTCTTAAGATTGGAATAGCCTTAATCTAAACAAACTACAAATATCTAGGAAACTAAAATATCACACCAAAAGTTTGTTACATGCAGTTCGAATCAGCCAGCTGTCCCATTTATCTGTCCAATCACCTTTACACGTGTCAACACTCCATTAGATTAGTCTGATTAGTTTTTTAGACAATCAGGACACGTGTCCTCTCCACAATAGAATAACATCTTTTTACTTGAGCACAAAGTATTACCCTTTTGGTATAAATATTACCTTCCAATACGTGGAAAGAGATCTGAAATTGAATACGCTCGCTGTTACTTTGGAGAAATTTTTACTATCTTACTTAAAACTTTTGAGATCTTCTCCCTTACTTGATATTTGGCACAATTTATCTAGACTAGAAAGGCTTCCGGTACGGGGCTCTTACTATCCAACTTGTTACTGCTTAACACGCAAACTTACTATTCAACTTTTCACTATTGATTTTTTTTTTTTGCAATTTTTATTCTTATTTGTTCATCTGCATAAAGATTCGTATCACATATATCTGTGTACCATTTTACCTCTGCGAGTTAGGGCAGGAACACTACAGACAAAAACATTCTTTTGTTAGTTAGATAATAGTAGGATATACTCCGTAACAAACTAGGAGTAAAATATCATACAGATAGATATAGATTTTCGGTCAAGGAAGGCTAACAATTAGGAAAGAACGCAACAATTTAGATCATAGAACATCTAATACATGACATGCACGCGCGTTTGCGCTTCTATTACTCCCGAAGTTCCATTGGACTTTGCTAAATTTCTCATTTGTCTGTCCTCTGTACAAACTTCAAACACACAATGTTTACGATTTTTATTTTTCACATAATTCAAAGGGTGCAAAGTCCATTCTCATTAGAATGGAGCATAATCAAACCGAAAGAATGATCGGAATATAAAATTATAGCTAGGCAGAATGGATCCATTGATGGCCTTGAATGAAATTATGAACCGAATATGAGTTGACATGTTTGGTCGGCACGATGCTACTCCACTCAACACGGTTAGATGCCCCAATTCCTCTGTTTTCAAATTCCCCATAATATAACGTTTTCAATGCGAACTCTCCATCCCACACCATCCACCCCTTCTCAGAAATCAAGCCCCCATAGTTACACCTGATGAACACCGTCCTTGAGTACTCCTTCCATGGCCGCCCCAGGAAATTATTGTGCACGTCTTTGTTTTTTAGGTACTGCTTCATGTATTTCTTTGTCCCTTTGATGGAGCATTTGTGGAAGACGAACCCTGTTGACTGAACTGGCTCCAGCCTGCCCTGGGCCGTTATCGTGTTATCCTCCCCTGCCTCCGGCTGGGTCGGCCTCGGAGCAATCAGGATCTTGCAGTCTTGAAAGAATGCCGCGGCGTTGCCGAATATGAAGTCAACGTTGCCCCGGATGTGGCATGATTTGTAGAATTGGCGGAGGGATTTGGCGTAAAGGGTGTCCTGGTTTCCCCTGAACTCGCAGAATTCCATGACGGTCCGGTCGGCGTCGGAACGGAAAGCTACCGCCTGATACCCGACGGCGGTGTTCTCGAATGTGATATTCCTTGCCGTGAACCCGTCTCCGAGCACACCAACGGTAGCAGTGTGAAAGATTCCCATTCCAGGTTGACCCGCATTCAGACAACCCGTAATTACCGTTTTGCCCATCCCGTCTCCGACGAAAACAACGTTGTACTTGTACAACGACACCCGGACAGTCTCATTGTAAACTCCGGCTTTGATCCGGATCACGAATTTCTCGGCCGGCTTAGACTCCGGCGCCGCATCCACCGCGTCCTGCACCGTCCTGTAGTCGCATCCGCCGGTTTTGCACACCGTCGCATTATAAGCTAAGTTCTTGTACCCGCCGCCGCCGCCGTCTTTGAAATCCGACCATTCCTTCTCGTCGGTCGGCTCCCAGAACCCGTCGCGCTCCGTCTTTGGTGGGCCCCACAAGCTTGTGTTTTCGCCGTGGAAATCGTAATTCGCAAGCATGCTCAAAGCTGTGCTGGTCGTCCCGATCAAGGTGTTATTCATAAACGCCATAGCGTCAATCGTGTCTTTCGAGTCGTTGACTTTTCTCAAGCCGCCCAATCCGTCGTACTGGGACGACAAGGCGGCGCTCAGCCATGCGCGGCTGTCCTTCAACTTAGAGCTGCCAGCTGAGAGGCCGTGTGTAATCGTCATGCCGACCCGATACCTTGAGTAGCCTATTGGCTCGATCGAATTATTTGCAGCCGTGGCACGGGTCATGTTTGACCCGTGCTTAATATTCTTTAGCTGCACTTTGGCGGTGTGGAGATTATGGAGGGTGAGGTGGAGCAGGGACAAGATGACTTGGCGGGCAGTTGATCCCGGTGACACGTGACCCGACCGGTTTATCACATGTTCGCATGTTGCCGGGTCACGTGAGGCCTTGCAGGTGGAAACAATGATGGGAGGAGTAGGGGGATAATGTTCTTGTGGCAAATAAGGGCTCTGAGCGAAGGCCGAGACAAAGAGGAAGGCAGTTAGGGGCAGTAAATGTATGGATAAGCCCATTGCCAGGTTTAATTACTTGGGTAATTAAGATGATGGGGGAGTTTAATCAGCTTATAAAGAAAGCCTCTGCGAGGGGCACTATTGGCTTGATTTATGGGACTCAAATACGTACGGCGGGACGAGTGTTCCCATCTCAAATGTCTAGACTCAAATACACATTTTATCATTATGATATACTCCGTACTACGTACTCCATTTCATTTTTTATTAATAAAAAACAAAAATAAAAATCAGAGTTTGAATAGCTTATAGTATAACAATTGGACATATTTTCAAAAACAAAAAAAACAAATTGCACATACGGCATATTTAAAAATGGAGATAGTACATTTTTTCATAATAATAAAAAATGTTGAAAATTTTAACGTTTGGCGTAATTTGTGGTGGAGATTATCCCCATCAAAGACTCAAATGTTGTATTCCACTTCTGCTTTATACATTTTTCAATGCATATGATGTGAAACTTTGAATACTTTCTTAATTCTGATGATTAAAGGGAAAAAAAGACTTAGGACACGTATTCGATGACGGATAAATTAAAGCCAGTGAAAATATTTTCATTCAAAAAGTTTACTACTCCGACCAGTCGAGTATGAAAAATGCGTACACCTTTTGTGTACACTCGTCTGTCCCCAGCAGACAAGTTGTTTATCCAATGACAACTCTACTAAGCAAATCCCTTTTTGTACTCCGTAGTTCGTACGTAGTATTTCTTTCCGATTTCACGAGTAATAAAATTTTTGAAAACAACTTCACAAGTAAAAAATTTGAAATTACATGTAAGCTTTAAAAACACTATCAAGGTTAAAGGTTTGTGTTTTTATTTCATAAATACAAGTAAATACTTGTAAGCTTTAAAAACACTATCAAGTTTAAAGTTTGATAATGCTAAAGTACGTATGATAATATTAACTCTTATTTATGGAATAAAATGATATAGTAATCATATTTTGAAATTCACTTACATTTTTTCTTCTATTTATGCCTATTTCTTTTATACTCGGTACTAGTCAATTCAAACTAAAAACTGAGACAAGAAAGGCGTGATGATTTCAGCGGCTACAGAATATGGAAAGTAAGTTGTTTTTAAAATAATATTCATTCACTCCCAATTTGTAAAATATGTTTTCTGCTCATTGGATCAACACAAATCATTCTTAATCTTTTACTTTATAAATCAAATTTTTATCAAATTTGATTCTAGTTTTTGCGACTTTGTAAGACTTTTAATATAGTTCCTGAATATGTAATTTTTTTCTAAAAAATATTTTAGTGGGGACGTGGATCCTTTTGCTTTATCGTTGGTCAAACATCGTAAACCGTAAATTATCATACAAAGTGAGACAGAAGGGGACTACGTATCTAATACGTAGCAGTCTCTCTATTTTGCTAAAATTGCCTCATACTCCCTCCGGTAATTAATTAACTTTACACTTTCCTTTTTGGGTCATCCCATATTAAATTTTACACGACTTTATTTGCCTTATTTGGCAAACAAATCTACAGCAAACAGTGTCAAACAGTGTCAAACAGTGCCAAACAGTGTCAAACAGTGTACTCTACAGTAAAATCAAATTTATTTCCTTAATATGTGTGAAGTCAAAGTGTAAACTTCATTAAGGACCAGAGGTAGTATTTCTTTTTCGCTCCGTCTCATTAGAATTGTCTCATATCAAATTTGGTAAAATTTGTATGATTCTAAATCATTCTAACTTTATTCTGATTTTATCAATTGAATATCAACCACATAAACATACATTTCTTAAGAACAACATCACCTCCTCTTACCACAATATTAGTGTGACGGAAGTACTCCCTCCGTTCCCAAAAATACTTCCCACTTTCCTTTTTGGGCTGTTCCCAAAAATACTTCCCACTTTCCCATTTTGGACAATTTGTGTGGCTCACATTCATTTTACCTTTTTCTTACACAACCACAACCATACATTTCCACTTTATTCCACTTTCTTAATAAGCGTGCCAAGTCAAACCGGGAAGAATTTTTAGGAACGGAGGGAGTAATATATAACAAAAAACTGTAAACAAAAAAAATGTTACTTAGTGACTTTCATTCACTATAATTAGAATTAATTTCTTTTTTAGTCATATGACTTATATGCAATTCCATATTTAGTCTACGTCTTTCATTTTGTCCACTTTTGATACTTGTCTAATGTTTCTTGACCATATGTGATCCTTTTAAGGTGATTTTAAACAACGAAAACATTGACGGAAGGATTATATATGGACGAAAACATAATAGTTAATTATGTACCAAAAGTGATCAAAGCTAAACACATGGACCAAATGTGGAATTGGTGCAAACTCATAGGATTAAAATGAAATTTGTTCTGATAATTATATCAAATTCTACATTGGAGTGACTCTAAATTAAAGGTACACGCGCACACATTATCAATTCCATAAGTTTTATTTTAATAATAATACAAAAGAGAACATCTCTTTAATTTTTTTCAGGCTCATTTCGTGTGTCTCTAAAAAATTATTTCATTAGTTCTTAGTGTTATTTATATTACCGATCAGTTTAGAAAGCTGAACACGCACTTCGAAGATATGATGGATATAACATTTACTCCCGTTCTCAAAGGAGCTTCACAGTTTGACTTCACACAGATTAAAAAAACAAATTTGACTTTACTGTGGAGTGCACTGTTTGACACTGTTTGAACACTGTTTGGCACTGTTTTGCACTATTTTGGTATAAATAATTTGCCAAATAAGGAAATAAGAAGAAGTGTGAAGTTAATTTCGGAACTTCCCGAAAAGGAAAGTGGGAAGTTGTTTGAGAACCGGATGGAGTATTTGTTATTATTATTATTTTGATTATTATCCAGAAGTTGTCTAAATAAAAGTAAAAATAATGTCAAATTTAAAAAGGAGTGATATATGCTTCTGTTCTAAATAAGAGTATTTACTGTTATGTTTGCAAAATAGAATCAATTACAATATCAACATTGTCATGTTAATGTGTAATAATGTCAAAATATGACATCAAAATTTCGGAATGAAATAATCCCATTTTAGAAAATTGCTCTTCTACTTCACATGTCTCAAAATGATTTGCAAAGTCAACTTTTCTGATCAATTCAACACAGTTTCTCTTTGAATAATGAATACTTATCTATTTTGGATGTTGCGGTTTTACAAAACTATCTGCAACGATGATTTAACATTATCATCGGTCAATATTAAAATCTGCAAATTACAATTCAATTTAGGATAGAGGTGGTAATTTGCAATTTTATGGTAGTTTTAAAGAGGATCTGCCTGTGAATTGGTTATTTTGATCTACACATGCACATATCTGGTCTATTTAAAAAAAAGATGACACTCCATCCCTGAGGGCCCCCAACCCCGACCGGACGGATGTAAATTGGACTATAATCTCAATCTGACAGATAGAGAGTGGGGCTCTGTACCCGGTACTTGCAGAGATCCTATGCATTTTTAGCATAGTAACCTCTCATCGCAGTTGCCGGGATTCGAACTCGGGACCTAACCCTTGTGGCACTCCCTTGTTACCAGTTGAGCTACGACCACCGGTTATCTAGTCTATTTAAATTAATGAGTGAGCCATCTTGTCAAGACACATAAATTAATTCTTCAAAACTAGAGCGTAGGCAGAAGCCTAAAACAAAAGCGCAACCCAAAAAATTATTATCAATTGCAAAACACCATATAAAGCGAATCTCCATCAACCTTAAACATTGAGGTTATATTTATTATTTGACATTTTATTTGATAATTGAACAAATACTTCATTTACAATTTTTAAGAACCCACTGAGAGGATTACTCTAAAGAAAAAACGAATCTAGAATATTCATTCATTTCTTAAAAATGAATCGACTAGATCAAATTTTGAAGTGCGTCTATTAGGCAATAGTCTAAGGTAGGGGTGGGCATAAAACCCGAATCGAATCGGTACCAAAACGTTCCGTAATGGTACCGAACCGAATATCGGATATTTAAACGGTTCTATAGATTTTTATCCCGTACCAAAACCGTACCGTTTGAAACGGGTACGGGACCGGTCCTAGATTTTGAGAACCGAAAAATACCGGACTGAACCGTTCGAAAATAATGCATTTGAATTTTTTATATTTTTTCTATACCAATGGATCTCTTTTATAGACCATAATTATGTTCCGGAAATATACCAATAGATCTCTTTTTAGATAATTTATGTTATACTTTGGTATGTATTGAAAGAATATTAAAATTTTAGAAATCATTAATGACTATTCATTTCTAGTAATGTAATGTCCATGACCTTTTGTTGTATCATTTTTGTGCAATTTTTACAACTTAATTAATATGGCTTAAATCTTAGCTCTCAAGGTTCAACTATAAATTAAATTAGAACTACGGAGTAATATTTAATCTAGAATGAAGAAGAAGAACCTTGACGATTTCTATCATATTCAACAATTTGATGATATTCGTTTTTATATTTTCACATGAAGTTAGTAAACTAAAGATGATATTTATCTCGTGCATCATCGTTTTGCTATACTTTTTCTTAGTTGTGTTGCACTATTTGTGTATTTGTGAATATTAGTACTACGTATGTAATTTCTTGTATTTATATCAACATTTCACGGGAGTTGGTTGGTGTGATGATATCTACTAATTGCAAGTTTTGTTCAAATTTTTTAGCATGCGTTTGGCATTATACAGTACCATTTTGTACCGTTCCGAAACGACATGATACCGAACGGTTCTATCCTTGGAACCGGACCGTACTGGACCGTTAAAAACCTCACAGATACATTACGGTTTTTGCCAATTTACCAGACCGTTCCGGATCGCGCCCACCCCTAGTCTAAGGATTTTTTTGGTGTCGTTATCCATGCAATTTATGATCAGAAAGTTGTGGCAGGCATGGCCAAAGCTGGAGAGGGGGAGGCAGAGCATTAGACCGGACTAAACCAGTACAAAGAATATATTTGGGGGAAAAATTACACAGAATTCTTTAGACAAAAAATATAGACATTTTTTAAATATGAGCTGGGACGGGACTAGGGTTGGCCACTTCTTAGTTACGCCCATGACGGAAAGCAAGATCAACAATTCTTGATGTACACCTTCTTATACACATCAGTACACCCCCGCGTCTGTGAGAGTTTTTTTGTCTGTGAATCCCAGTCCACAGAAAAAACTGGTTTGTTTTGTCTGTGAAAAATTCTACAAAATAAA